TCCAGGTTCACCGAGCGCGTTCCACTACTCGCAAAGTGCCTACTCGCAAACGCCCGAAAAACACATGTCTGCTTTGATGTAATGTGTAGTAGATCCCCCGCGGTGGATCCAGGCCATCTGCGAGGCAGTCACTTTGCGAGTAGTGGAACGCACTCGTCTACAGATGGCCCCTGCCCCGGGGGCAGTTTTTCATCCCAGTGCGAACTTTGGCCTCGATGGATCAGCGGCGAGCGGGGTGCCTTCGGGGAAGGCGCAGAAGGCTGTCGGAAGACTGGAGGGCTCCCGAGCCTTCTGAGCAGGCCGGGCCCTTCTCACTTGAGCGTCGCAGAGAAAAAACGGGGTCGTCTTCACCGACATTGGCGCGTAAGCTGCCCGCGCAAGTTCGCGCGTGAGGCCCTCTTCTCTAATTTGGCGTGCCGCGCTGGCGGCCTCGTAGACCTCGGCGGAAGGTCGCTACGTCAGATCGCGTAAGGCCCTTTTTTTCGTCGCCCAGATGCCTGGGGGGGTCCTTTTGGCCCCCCTCCCTCCCCAGACTCCCGACCTCGTGATGTGTCCCCCGAGGCCTTGACCCATTCCCGGGACCGGTCTCTCATCCCGAGCCGCTTAACTGACGGCCCCGAGGCCCAGGGAGGGCCCCCAGAGAGGCCCAAAGTGAGCGAGAAGCCTCCTGTCGTGATTTTGACCTGCCTCGAGGGGGTCTCTTATGTTGCATCGACCTCGCCCGTCCCAAAGTTGGTTTCTTTTCTTATGCCCGACGCGGGCTCGATGCGGACTCGACGCGGATTTGGCGTGGAGTCGGCGCGGATTCGACACGGATTCGACACAGATCCGACGAGGCCGACACGGATTCGACACGGATTCGACACGGATGCGGCCGCGACGGGACAGACAAGGCCCCCCGACGAGATCCCCAGGCTCGGCCGTGCTGGAGATCGCCGGGGCCCTCGTGCGGGCGGAGGCGGGCGCGCCCGAGGCGGCGGACGCCCGGGGCGCGCAGCCCGCGGCCGCCGGGGCGGCGGCCAGCCGCCCGCGCGCGGCGAAGGGCCGCGGCAGGGGCGCCGCGGGGTCGCCGTGGTCGTCGGTGCGAGGACCCAGAGATCCGAGATGTTTTTGTTGCAGTCTGGCGGTTTTTCCTGGATGTCGGTCTCCGGGGCCCATCATCGGTCCCGGGAACCATCAACATATATATATATATATATATATATATCGGAGGTTGGGGGGTTGGGGGGTGAGTCCGACGTGAAACGAAGACCCCTCCTACCGGGAAATCGATTTCGGTTCTGGGTTCGTGTCGTGCGTGCCGTGCGTGTGCGCGTGCGGGCGAGGCGAAGCTGCGTGGGCGGGCGAGAGGAAATTCTCCTGTGGCTGGGCCGCGGCCAGACCAAATGATTCCCCCCTGGCAACCGGCGGCCCGCGGTGTCCCGCTGGTGTCCCGCTGGTGTCCCGCCGGTGTCCCGCTGGTGCCCCAATGCAAATCGACGACATGCAAATCCATAGCAAATCCATGTGCAAATCGTAAGGCGCCGTGGGTATTGACATGCAAATCCTTAGCAAATCCATGTGCAAATCGTGAGAGATAGATCGTGAGATCGATACTGAGATCGATGTGGTGCCCCGAGGTGTCCCGTGGTGTCCCGTTGAGTGAGATCGACAGTGAGATCGATAGTGAGATCGACAAGTGTCCCGAGGTGTCCCGTGGTGTCACGTTGAGTGAGATCGATCGTGAGAACGATCGTGATATCGATAGTGAGATCGATGTGGTGTCCCGAGGTGGCCCGTGGTGTCCTATGGTGTCCCGCTGAGTGAGATCGATAGTCAGATCGATAGTGAGACCGATAGTGAGATCGAGAAGTGTCCCGCGGTGTCCCGTGGTGTCCCGTGGTGGCCCGTGGTGTCCCGTGGTGTCCCGTTGAGTGAGACCGATAGTGAGATCGATAGTGAGAGCGACAAGTGTCCCGTGGTGTCCCATGGTGTCCCGTGGTGTCCCGTGGTGTCCCGTTGAGTGAGATCGATAGTGAGATCGATTGAGTCAGATGTTGGTTCCCCCCCTCCCCCCCCCACAACCTCCTTATCACCCGAAGGGTAGTCGTCGGAGGTATATATATGTATATATATGTGTATATATATATATACATATATATATATATCCCTGCGCACGAGGCCCGGGCGCCCAGGGACAGGGCCTCGAGCGCGCATGGGAGGACCGGGGCTTCCGAGACCGCTCCCAGAGCACCTCGGAGGGGCCGTGCCGTGGAGCCCCGAGACTGCCCCAGAGAGCTCCAAGACGCTCCCAGAAGCCCCCGGGTAACTTCGACAAGCCTCTCCAAGACAGCCCAGATAGCCCCAACGTGGCCCAAGAAGGCCTCCAGACCACAAATACACAGCCCAAGAGGCCTCCAAGAGGCCTCAAGAGAGCTCCGAGAGGCGTCCCGAGAGAGCTCGAAGAGGCCCAAGTCATTGATTTCCATTGTTTTTTATGTTTTTCGATTTCTCGCGTTTTCGACCTTCCGACGCTCCAAGACGGCCGACGACGCCCCCAAGACCGCCCCCAAACCGCCGAAGAGGCCCCCAACAGAGCCCCGAGACGGCCCCAGGGAGCCCGAGAATTGCCCAGGAGGAGCTTCAGACGGCCCAGGAGAGCCCCAGGACAGGCCCAAGCCGGGCCACAGAGCGGGAGCGGAAGGCCCCAAGGCGCTCCAAGACGGCCCAGATGGCCCCAACGTGGCCCCAGATGGGCCCAAGACGGCCAATACGCGGCCCAAGGGGCCTCCAAGAGGCCCCAAGAGAGCTCCGAGAGGCGTCCCGAGAAAGCCCGAAGAGATCCACGTCCTTGATTTCCGGTAGTTTTTCAAACACGTTTTCGCTTCCTCACGTTTTCGACCTTCCAACGCTCCAAGACGGCCGAAGAGGCCCCGAAGATCGCCCCAAGACCGCCGAAGAGGCTCCAAAAAGCCCCAACACGGCCCCAGAGAGCCTAAAGACTGCCCAAGAGCAGCCCAAGACTGCCCGAGAGAATCCCAGGAGAGGCACAAGATGGGCCCCAAAGCGGGAGTGGGAGGCCCCAAAGAGTTCCAGCACGGTCCCGATGATTCCAACGTGGCCCCAGAGGAGCTCAAGACGGCAAACGCACAGCCCAAGAGGCCTCCAAGAGGGCCCAAGAGAGCTCCGAGAGACGTCCCGATAGAGCCCAAAGAGGCCCAAATCATTGATTTGCTTTGGTTTGTTAGATGTTTTTCGCTTCCTGGCGTTCGAATGTTCGAAGACGCCCCCAAGACCGCCGAAGGGGCACCCAAAAGAGCTCCAAGACGGCCTCAGGGAGCCCGAAAATTGCCCAGGAGCAGCCCCTAACGGCCCAAGAAAGCCCCAGGACAGGCCCAAGCTGGGCCACAGAGCGGGAGCGGGAGGCTCCAAGGCGCTCCAAGACGGCCCAGATGGCCCGGGCTTCCCCCTCCGTCCCTCATTCCCTCCCGCCCCCTCCCCTTGCCTCCATTCCCTCCTCTCTCTCCTCTTCCTCACCTCACCCCTTAGCTTCCGTGTTCCTCCCTCCTCTCATGGGACGGCCCCGCCAGAACGCCAGACAGGCCCTGCCAGAGCAAGCGGCGCATCGCTACACCCTATCATATCACAAGTTGTTTTGCCCTTCCCACCCCTCAAGGGCGGCCCCGGCAGAGCGAGAGGGGTGTTGCTATACCATCTACAGTCCCTGTTTTGTCTTGCCCCTCCCACCGCACCCGAGGTAGCCCCGTCAGAACGCACGGGGTGTGGCTATACCATAATTATCCTCAGGTTTCGTGATCCCTCCCTCCCCTCCTGGGCGCGCCCCGCCAGAGCGCCAGGAAAACCCCCGCCAGAGAGAGCTGGGCATCCCTACGCCATACTGTGTCACGCGCTTCTTGCTCCTCCCACCCTTGCAGGGAGGACCCGCCCGAGCGACCGAGGCGTGGCCATACTATACAGTTTCTCAGGTTGTGTGCCCTGTGCCCCCTTTCACCTCCTGAAGCGCTTCGTCAGAGCGCCAAGAAAGTACCGCTAGAGGCCCCGTCAGAGCTCCAGGCAGCCCCATCCACTGGACTTGCCAGGCAGATATTTTAGCATCCCCCGTGAGCCCGAACCTTTTGATCCCACGGGTGCGACTATCGCCAGCACGATGTTTGGCGTCCAGCACAAAAGAAGCTCCCCCACTCCCGTGGACGGATTCCACAACAATTGATTGCAGAGAACTGATGACTGGGACATCTGCGCGCGCTCTCTGCAGATACTACCGGCAGCTGAACGACCGCTGAAAAGCGAGAAGCCTGGAGCACAAGGAAGAGGAGAGAAGAAAACAATGCGCTCCCACGCGCGCGCAACGAGGCCCCGAGCCGACCCCAACATCAGGAGCCGGCGGATGTCTGCGAGACAAGGCATGGGGAGACCGAACAGGTGTGCAAAACAATTGAGTGTCACGACGGGGCAGAGCGGAAGTGAAAGTGGAGAGAAAGGCGCAGTTCGATAAACCGAACAAAGGCAGCAGCGAGATTGTGAGATACGCGGGAACGTGACGCCCCGCGTTCCTTTGCGTCGATGGCATGGGCCCGAGAACGCTGGAAATCGTCGTTGTGGCCACAGCGAGGCTTACAGCGGCATCCGTGGCTCATCTGCGACTAGAATCTAAGCGCGTGCGTAGCGCGCGCGCGGTTCTAATATATATATATATATATATATATATATGTATGTATGTCTGCATATACATACATACATACATACATACATACATGCATGCATGCATGCATGCATACATACATACATACATACATACATACATACACGCACACATCGAGGGCGAAAAATACTCTGGGGAAGGAATCGGGGCCTCTGTGGCCGCGGATTGTCAAAATCATGTCGGCGGATGTTTGGGATCCCAGACCCCTCGGGCCATGACCAAAAATCACGACGGAGAGTTTGTCGGTATTTCTCGGCCTTTGGGGGCCCGCACCAAACTCTAAGCCTCCTGGATGTGGTCGGAGGATCGCGCCGCATCGCCGATGCTTCACGTCGACGTCGCCGATGCACCGACGATGTCGACGATGCTTCGCTGGTGCATCGCCGATGTATTGCCGATGCATCGCCGATCTGGCGCGCCCCTCCGACCCCATCTACTCGAACCCCATATAAGGGGCCTCTACAGACCCCCTCGGGCCACGAAAAAATCACGACGGGGAGTTTGTCGTTATTTTCTGCCTCTGCTGGCCTTCAACAACCTTCGGGACCGTCCAGAAACTGCTCGGGATGAGAAACCAGTTCCCGGGAGTGGGTTCAGATTTTTGGGAGTAGGAGTCGACGTCCTGAAAGAAACTGGCGTCGCAATTTTGTAACCGTCGAAAACTTAATCGGGAAGAAAAATCGCCCTGGAGAAAATGTTGTGACTTCGGGGGGGGGGGCGTGTTGAACAAAAACAACACATCGGATTTTGGGGTTCTCGGCCCCCCGGACTATCACAGCTCGATCCGTCTCGAACAGTGCTGCGGGGGGCTGTCGCGAGTTCTCGCGATGTTGCAACTTCTTCGCAACGTCGGATTTCAGGGTTCGGGCCCACCCAGACCCCCGACGTCGTGTTTTTTCACGACGTCGACCCCCAGAGGTCCGCCGGAAGGGCCGTTGGAGGCCCAGGAAGGGCCGCCGGAGGCCGAAAGTGACGACAAACCTTCCGTCGCGTATTTTTTCGCAGCGCGACGAGGTCTGGGCGGACACCTAGCGCCTCGAAAAAACCAAAACGGCGGGCCTGCCGCCATTTTTGGGGGAGCCTCCAGTGGGGGCAGGAGGAGGAGGAGGAGGAGGAAGGAAGAATGAGGGGGGTAGGAGGAGGGGAAGGAGAGGAGGAGTGAAGGAGGAGAGGGGGAGGAAGGATGGTGGAGGGAGTAGGAGAGGAGGAAGAGGTAGGAGGAGGGAGGAGGAAGGAGGAGATATGAGGAGAAGTAAGGAGGAGGAGAGAGGATGTGATAGGAGGAGGAGGGGGATGAGTGGAGAGGAGGAGGAGGACGAGGGAGGAGGAGGGTAAGATGAGAGAGGAGGAGATACCTACTCGGGATTTGGGGCCGCCAGTAAAAAGAACAACGCCTCGGGGTGCAGAGGCGGCCCCTGGAGGGGAAGAGGGCCGAGAGGTCTGGGGGCCCACGCGCCGCGGAGCCATCGAAGCTCGAAGTCCCACAGAGGGGGGGGGTGCCTCCTCCTCCTCCTCCTCCTCCCACCGCCTCCTCCCCTCCTCCGCCTCCGATCCACCTCCTCGTCTTCGACCTCCTCCTCCTCCTGCCTCCTCCACCTCCTCCGCCGTCCTCCTCCTCCTCCTCCAGACCTCCTTCTCCTTGCTCCGCCTCCTCCTCCCTCCACCTCACTTCTCCTCCTGGTTGAGTGCACGTTTCGGCTCCTTCTCTTCCCTCATCCCCCACCTCCACCTCGTCCTCCCTCCTCCTCCTCGTCCTCCTCCTCCTCCTCCTCCACCTCCCCCACCTCCTCCTCCCCTCCTCCTCCTTCCTCCTCCTCCTCCATCCTCCTCCCACACCTCCTCCTCCTCCTCCTCCACCCCCTCCTCCTCCGATTGTCCTTCCTCCTCCCTCCCGTCTTCGATCCTCCTCATCCTCCTCCCTCCATCTCCTCCTCTTCCTCCTCTCCTCTCCTCTACAGGCGACGTTCGTTTCTTCTCTTCCTCCTCCTCCACTCCTCTCCTCCTCCTCCTCCCGCCTCCTCCCCGCCTCCTCCCCTCCTCCTCGTCCTCCTCCTCTCCCTCCTCCTCATCCTCCTCCTCCTCCTACCACCTCCTCCTACTCCATCCTCCTCCTCCTCCTCCTCCTCCCTCCTCCTCCCCTCCTCCTCCTCCTCCTCCTCCTCCTCCCTCCCCCCCCCTCCTCCTCTTCCTTCTTGTCCTCCGGGTGAGTTCGATCGGTTTTGGCACCGAACTTCCCAAATTTGGCGATCACAAACATGGATGAGGGGTGTGTGGATTAGCGACGAGTCCCGTTTTCAGGGGAAATCGCGGATTTCCGCCGCCGAATGAGGCGGCACCAAGAGGGCACCTCCCCCGACCGCGCGCCAAATCCATAGATCGCTAATCCATGTTTGCGCGCTCCCGACCAAAACAGATGCCCCCCAGCCGCCGGCAGCTCCCAATAGTTGCGGATAGATGGGGTACGCGGGGGGGAATTATGTTTGCGGCAGTGCGGTGCACCAGCGGATCGAATTCATGCCCCCCTCAGGGGCCCCCCTCCTTTGGAGGATCCCGAAACGCGCCTGAGATCTGAGTCGTCGTTGTTTGAGGGTCGAGGATGGCGGCTTAGGACCGCCTTCTGACCCTTTCTGGGCCTCTTGGGGGACACGGGCCCAGCGTCTTGAAGAAAAACGACGCGCAGTCTTTCCGTCATCCTCGGCCCTGAAGGGCGTCTCCGAGCTGCGGGGCGAGAGGCTGGTCCCCAGCGGAGGGGTGGAGAGGGCATGGGGCGCCAGCATTGCAACGATTGGGACCTCGGAGTCCCCGGGTCACCTTTACTCCTCTCCCCTCGAGGGCGTCGCAGGGGAAGGCGAGGACTGGGGCCACGAAGCGTCCCAGACCTCAGGGCCCCCTCTTCTTCCTCTGCGTTCCCTGCGCCCCCCCTCCCCCCCCCCCCTTCCTCGTGCGCCCGCGTGCCTCGCGCCATGGTGCGCTACCCCCCTCCTCCTCCTGTGGCCCCCTCTCCCCGGCAGCCGATCCCCCCCTCTCTCGCGCACCCGAGCCTTGTCGTCGTCCTCCTCGTCATTCTCTTTTTCCTCCTCCTCCTCCTCCTCCTCCTTCTCCATTCCTTTTTCTTAAATTTCTCCCTGTCGCACCCCGTTTTTAGGGCGGGCCGGGCGTCTCGCCTGAGACTTCCTTGCAATTTATGGCTGAAGCTGAAAAACTTGCAAAAGTTTTATTGATTGAAGGCAGGTGGTTTTCAAAATGTGGCTCTCGCCTGAGCGCGGCGCACATTCGTTTTAGAAACTTGCAAGAGTTTCACGGATTGAGGGCGGGTCGTTTTCAAAATGTGGCTCTCCCAGTAGCGCGGCGCACAGTCGCTTAAAAGATTGCAGGATTTTCACGGATTGAGAGCGGCTCCTTTTCAAAATGTGGTTCTCGCCTTAGCGCGACGCACGCTCGCTTTAAACAATTGCAGAAGTTTCACGGATTGGAGGGCGGGTCGTTTTCGCTTTAGCGCGGCGCACATTCGTTTTTAACATTTGCAAGAGCTTCACGGATTGAGGGCGGCTCCTTTTCAAAATGTGGTTCTCGCTTTAGCGCGGCGCACACGCGTTTTAACAATTTGCAAGGGCTTCACGGTTTCCCATCATCAACGTGCCAGAAATGGTGTTTCGAAAGGATTCAGGATGATGCGGGTGCAACAGTTATATCGGTTCGCTGTCTTGAATTCCCAGGAATGGTGCTCTGGCACGGTTCAGGATTGTCAAGGCGCAACGCTCGGGTTGATCCGTGGCGTTGAAATCCCGAGAACCATGTTTTGGCATGCTTCAGGGTCTTTAAACGGTTGTCTTCCAAAGACGCAGTTCCTCCAATGGAAATTAACCGCTGTAGAGACCTATGAAGATGGAGCATAGAGGGAGGGTTTATTCCAACATCGTTGATGGCTCTTGGGTTGACACTGGTCTTCCTCCTCCTTCTCTTTCCTCCTCGTCCTCATCGTCGTCGTTCTCCTCCTCTTCCTCCTCCTTTTGACGATAGACCAACGTAAGGAACGAGCCTGTCGCGTTTATGCTGTAGTTGGAGAAACGACTCGGGTCACAAGCACACGGCGGGCGCCGCGGAACATGGAAGAGAATGAGCGCAGGATAATCTGATTGGTGAGAGTAGGCGCCCGCCAGGTGTGGCGGCATTCACCTTAGTGGGATGCAACAACAACAGCAACATAAAGTACAAAAGTAAGGGTAACATTCTTAAGATCGATGGTGAGTGTCGTCGCGGCTGGCCAGATACGGCAGGACGACAGAGACCTTAGCAAGCAAACGAGGTAACATCTATAAGACGAAAGTTTCATAGGTCGTGCCGTCACTGTATGTGACGTTAAGAGAAGTGCAATGACGCCAAGCGTGAATAGAGCGGCACTTAGCAATTTTAGGGCTGTTGCCCAGGGTTTTGGTGCACTCCGAACCGTAACTCAACTCCCCATCCCCCTATAACCCGCCACACTCCAGGCCCCACAAACCCCATCCCTGTTCAGAGTAAGTGCCATCTTGGCAGGCTGCAGCTGTGAGCAAGAGAAAGCACAGGCTGAGATGTTCCCAGCATGTGCTTGTTGCTAGAGATGGCAAGGTTGTGTGTGGGGAACAACATGGAAGAGCTGCGTGTATAAAAAGGTGGCGTCTGATGGCTGGTTCCACGCAACCACCGAAGTAGCGAATTGCAGCGAGTACCCCACAATGATTGCCAGGAGTGCTCCAATGTAGCTAAGAAGCGTGCGTGAGCAGTTCCTGGGATGCTGCCCTGGACTATTGCGTAGCATGCACAGCTGCAGCGTGAGTGTTGTCCTCCTCCCCTCCTCTGCTAATACACCCCAGTGGGACCCTCCTATATTTCAGTGTATGTGGCATCTGGTGGCACAACATGCTGCACATGTGAAAACAACAATCAGCCGAGAAGTGATAACTGTGGCTGCTGAGGGTCAGCAGACAAAACATGTCTGATACTTGACTGACTGTAGCAGCTCTTGGGTTGCTGCCCATGGTTTTTGGGCTTACCCTAAACCACATCGGTCCCAGGGACCTCGTGATGTTTGTAATTATTCTTGGGTTTAGCACGGGCCCATTGGTATCAAGTGCGTGCTGGGCTGGTCTTAGGCTGGACCGTGTCTAAGTAGGCTGGCCTAGAGGCAGTACTGTTTAAATACCAGTACTAAATGTCGGTATGTGCTGAGAGTGTTGGCAGCAGAACACTAAGGCATAGGCGTCGGGCAAAATGATAGAAAGGCCGATCTGAGAAGTAAGCGAAGTATTGGTCAAAAAAAGAACACAGTGCGGCTAACAGGTAGTACTGCTGCAAGGACGGAGTGCAGATTGTGCACCACAGCCGCACCCGTGGGCAAGTGTCTCACGTGTACGGTGTGGGACAAAATGAACGCCATCTTGCATGCACTTCTGTAGAAACCTGCCCTTGCGGGGACCCAAGCCTCCACCATGGAAAGACCTACCTCCCCCACTATAAGGTGCTGCCGTGCTGAGAGTAAAAAAAGGGGTACATCCTTGTTGGGGACCCACGTGCCCGGTTGTCCTCCTCCTCCTTCTCCTCCTCCTCCTCCTCCTCCTCCTCCTCCTCCTCCTCCTCCTCCTCCCCCTCCTTCTCGTCCTCCTCTTCCTCCTCCTCCTCCTCCTCCTCGTCGTCTTTTTCCTCCCCTCCTCCTCCTCTTCATCGTCCTCCTCCCCTTCGCTCTTCCTGGAGCCGGAGCGGGGGAAGTGGCAGTCGGGGGCGGCCAAGAGGGGGGCAATGACAAGGGGGGGGGGGATCTCATGGCGGGGGCCATGGTATCTCCCCAGATCTCCTGGCGCCTGTTCTTACCTCAATGCGCTCCCGCCCCCCCCCCCCGTTGGCCGCGCACGTGCCACCGGCCATGATTGCGCCCCCTCCTTTTGGACGCCTCCTCTTGGATGCCCCCGATGCAGCCGTCGCTGGAGCTCCTTAGACCTCCGACGGACAGGTCTCGACCCGGGCACCACAGGTCCAACAGGTCTCAACCCTTGCTGTGGGGGCGGTGTTCCTTCCCAGACTGGGGCAAAAAACTCGCCTGTTGAGGCCGAATCCAGAACAAAAACTTCGGGATCGAACATATCGATTCGCAACAGGCCCGGGCCCTCTGCTCGGATCGGACGAGAGGGGGACGGGAGAGGGGGGATGCGAACTCTGCTGCGTGCAGCTGGCTTCGGCTCCACCGCTTGGCGCGTTCCTCGATACATGGTCGCTCCTGGCGCTGGAGGCGCTGTGAGAACCAGCCGCTGACCCCCCATGTTTGCTACCTCTCCCGTATCGTCCATCCTGGTCCTCCCCCTCAGGCGCAGAGAGGAGAGAGGGCCGCCAGGGCGGGGGCGCGGCGGATCAGGGCGCAGGATCTGCGGGAGGCATCTGCACACCACCACCACCACCACGCCTGGCCAGGACCATCCTGGGCACAGAAATTGTGCGGGTGAAACATGTTAGCCAGCGTGGACCCCAAGCAGCGATTTCTTGCAATCTACGTGGCGCAGTCTAGATGGTGCAATCCATGTGGTGAAATCTAGGAGGTGCAATACATGTGTCGCAGTCTATGTGAGAAACAGCATTGCAGCGCAGTTCTTTGCAATGCAAAAGAATGCAAAGCAATGCAATGCAAAGCAAAGCAAAGCAAAGCAAAGCAATTCAAAACAATGCAAGGCAATGCAAGGCAATGCAAAGTAAGGCGAGGCACAGCGAGGCAGAGCAATGCAAAGAAATACGAGTCAATGCAACGCAAGGCAAGGCAACGCAATGCAAAACAAGGCAAAGCAATGCAAATTAATGCAAAGAAATGTAAAGCAAACAACAGCAACGCACAGCAATGCAGAAATATTGTCCTGGCGAAGGACCCATCCATATGCAGTTGCGAGTACCGCAGGGCAGGCGGGACGATCGAGGGGGAACTCCCTATGGGGCCGCGAGCCGCGTGAGACGGGCGAACCGCGTGAGTGGTGTGCCAGCATGGGGCGGGTACCGCATGCGGGCTGTGGGAGAGACGCATGCGATGACGGTCGTTGTGGCCTCCGATGGAGTTCCTCAAGGGGCCACGAAACGCGTGGGGGGCGTGCCGTCATGGGCGGGGGAGGCGCGCGCGAGGACGGCCGCCGCGAAACGTGCGAGGGGTGTGCCGACATGGGTGGGTCGGACGCGTGCGGGCGGCGCCCTTGGGATCTTCGGTGGAGCCCCCTCATGGGGCCACGATCCTCGTGAGGGGCGCGTCGGAATGGGTACGTCGGGCGCCAACAGGCAGCGCCCTGGGACCGTCGGTGGAGCCTCCTTTATGGGGCCACGATCTTCGTGAGGGGTGTGCTGAGATGGGTGGGTCGGGCGCATGCGGGCGGGCGGCACCGAAGATTTCCCTCACTGCCTCCCGCGGAGCTCCCTATAGGGCCACGAACCGTGTGAGGGGGGTGCTAAAACGGGCGTCGGGCGATTGCGGACCCTGCCACTGGGGCTTTCGGTGGAGGTCCCTATGGGGCACGAACCGTGTGAGTGGTGCTCCAAAATGGGCGTCGGGCCCATGCGGACCTTACCACTGGGGCTTTCGGGGGAGCTCCCTATGGGGCCACGAACCGTGTGAGGGGTGTGCCAACATGGGCGTCGGGCGCATGGAGCTCCGTATAGGATCACGAACCGTGTGAGGGGTGGCCAACATGGGCGTCGGGCGCATGCGGACCTTGCCACTGGGGCCTTCGGCGGAGCTCCCGATGGGGCCACGAACCGTGTGAGGGGTGTGCCGACATGGTGCACATGCGGAGAG